AGGGACTGTCGCGCTGCTTTTTTTTGTTGTTGGTTTTAAGAAGTATGTATCACAAAAAGCAAAATCTGTTTTGAATAAAGCCAAATACTACGTTGCATGCCTCATCGTCTGGGGTGTGCATCTGATATCCTGTGTAGACTCCATTTACCACTTCCGCTGATATGAGCAGTCGTTTGGTGATGGGATAAAATTAATTTCTAAAGAAATGAATTGGAGTAGTTTGAGATCTCTGGTCGATTCTGTTTCAGTGCTGCTTGTTTATGTACCGAGGAGTTAATGACTGAATCTCTTTGACGGGTTGTCTCTGATCTGCTGCTGCTGGTAGAAACCCTTTGCCCTCTCTTTAACTCTAAAACACTCCAGCTGACTGCTAAGGGCCGTGTTTCCCCCCTGACCGGTCTGAGAAATTGTCCGGTAAACGATAATATTGTTGTTTTAGGATCCTTTTCAATCACAATGACAAAATAATACAAGTTTGCGCTCTCAAAGAACAACAAAGTTTAATTTTGTAAAGAACACATCAGACTTGAACTGGAAGACATTCTAAACGCCTAGAATTAAATACGACAAGCAAAAACAAAGAAAATGGATTATGAAGTCTCTAAAAAATATAAACATCAGAATAGGAATTATTGATCTAATTTTAACGTATTATGTAATTGACTGCTTATTGCAACAGGCCATTGCAAGAAGCAAAGTTGTGGTTATCCCTCCTGCTTATGCACTTTATACTTTTTCCTTCCGCTAAATTTTCCATGTACAGTTAGGGCCAGAAATAGTTGGACAGTAACACAATTTTTGCGAGTTGGGCTCTGCATGCCACCGCATTGGATTTGAAATAAAACCGCTACAACAGAATTCAAGTGCAGATTGTAACGTTTAATATAAAGGGTTGAACAAAAATTGTACACATTTGTTTATAAACACTCCACATTTTAGGAGCTCAAAAGTAATTGGACAAATAAACATAACCCAAACAAAAAAGTTTTTTCTCAATATTTTGTTGCGAATCCTTGGAGGCAATCACTGCCTTAAGTCTGGAACCCATGGACATCACCAAACGCTGGGTTTCCTCCTTCTTAATGCTTTGCCAGGCCTTTACAGCCGCAGCCTTCAGGTCTTGCTTGTTAGTGGGTCTTTCCGTCTGAAACTTTTTTCTTCCCATCATTCTGGTACAGGTTGATCTTTGTCTCATCTCCATAGAATACTTTTCCAGAACTGGGCTGGCTTCTTGAGGTGTTTTTGGGCAAATTTAACTCTGGCCTGTCTATTTTTGGAATTGATGAATGGTTTGCATCTACATGTGAACCCTTTGTATTGCTTTCATGGAGTCTTCTCTTTACTGTTGACTTAGAGACAGATACACCTACTTCTCTGAGAGTGTTCTGGACCTCAGTTGATGTTGTGAACTGGTTCTTCTTCACCAAAGAAAGTATGCGGCGATCATCCGCCACCGTTGTCTTCCGTGGACGCCCAGGCCTTTTTGAGTTCCCAAGCTCACCAGTGAATTCCTTTTTCCTCAGAATGCACCCGACTGTTGATTTTGCTACTCCAAGCATATCTGCTATCTCTTTGATGGATTTTTTTCAGCCTCAGGATGTTCTGCTTAACATCAATTGAAAGCTCCTTTGACCGCATGTTATCTGGTCACAGCAACAGCTTTCAAATGCAAAACCACACACCTGGAATCAACCCCAGACCTTTTAACTACTTACTTGATTACAGGTTAACGAGGGAGACGCCTTCTGAGTTACTTGCAGCCCTTAGAGTCCATTGTCCAATTACTTTTGGTCCCTTGAAAAAGAGGAGCTATGACTTCTAAACCCTTTCTCTGATTTGGATGTGGAAACTCATATTGCAGCTGGGAGTGTGCACTTTCAGCCCATATTGTATATATAATTGTATTTCTGAACATATTTTTGTCAACAGCTGAAATAACAAAACCTGTGTCACTGTCCAAATATTTCTGGCCCTAATTGTATCAATTTTGATGAAGAACTTGAGCTTTAGTTTCTATCATAGGTTGTTCTTATTTATATCTAGGATGAAGGACAACACATTTATAAATATAAAGTATACAATATTGATAAATGTTTATTATAATGAATGGAACAGGTTTATACACTGTAGTAATGTGTGTTTTTTGTTTTGTTTTTGTTCTACAAGGTCCCATTGAAAGATACATCAGATGATTAGTGGTGCCAAACCACCGATCTGATAAACGTCGTGGTTGAAATCAGAACTTTAATGGATCTCAAATGCTGAATGATTTCCTTGATGAATCTTCTGGGGAAGTATTACCATTTCAACTGACAATGAAGCTGATCTGGATGATTGATTCTGAGTTTAACAGGAGACTCCTGCTTGGTTTTGTGCCAGGATTCCTCTCCATCCATCTCCCTTTCGACTTCTCAAAGGAAAAACATCTGAATGCTTGCAACCGACTTTACAATGTCTTCTGCCTTGGAAAAAGATTATGTGGGAAAAGTCTTACTTGTGCCGGTCTCTGTAATAAAGCTTTTATTTTAGACTTTACAGCTGCTCTGCACTATAATTCCTACTGGCACAGGCACGGGAGGCTATGTAGCCTAGCTAACCGCGCTGCGAGCACCCCGGAATGTTCTTAGAGACGCCGGTGTATGTGTCTGTGTTTTTTACGTGGGATAGCTACACTTCACCATGTGTGCCTTTGACTAATTTGGGCCATTTGTGTTGCAGGGGTCCCTTCAGCGTGGTGAGGCGCTGCATCAACAGGGACACGGGCCAGCAGTTCGCCGTAAAGATTGTGGATGTGGCCAGCTTCACCTCTAGCCCCGGCCTCAGCACAGAAGGTGAGAAAACCAGCGGGAACGACTCCACGGTCACTCAGGTTTAGGGAATATTTCCAATCAGAAAGGAAAACTTCAAACTGATGCTTTGGAATGATTTAAAAAAAAGAATCATTGTAGATTATTCCCTGTTCTGTTGCGCAAACTCACCCACCTACCTCTCCTTGTGGGCTAAAACAACAGTTGGGAGTAATCCACAAATACTCCTTGGCTCTGATATCAAACACAACGACCCACAGAGAGCGAATAATCATATTTTCACAGAAATAAATCAAGCAGAACGTCCCACAGATGAGGTTTATGTCGAAATGCTCGTTTTTGTGCGACACAATGCGTTTCACTGTGCAGGTTTGTCAACGAGGGAGATTAACGCTAAGATCAGAGGTGTGTGTGTGTGTATGTATGCGTGTATGTGTGTGTGTTTGCATGTTGGTGGCAGCGTTGGCATCCATCATGTGCCATCTGCGACGCCCCAGCCAGAGACGAGCCCTGCAGCCAGTAACAGCAAGACAAGGAAATGAACTAAGGGAGCTGACGTGGAAAAGGTTCCCGATGAATGAATTGACCTGCAATTTCCTACCTAAAATACCGATTATTAGTTATGTCAGATTCACTCGAATGTCTGATTAGTTGGCTGCTTTCTGTTTCTTATTCATTTGATAGATGTAGATGTAAAAATTCTTAAAAGTGATCAATTGAGATTTTTTTTCTTTTTGCTAAGGAGGGTTTCTACAGTTCTCTCTCCTTTTGGGTTCAGATGTGGTTTTCAAGCTATTTGATCTGCTTTCAACAGACCAAAGATTATTTCATCAGGTAGTCTGTTTAATTCAGGCAGGTGTGAAAGCTCATCCGAACTCTGGTTGCAGACCAAGAGAGAAAATTGTGATTTGGCTGAAAATACAGCTCTCAGTTTATTTAGAGTTGAACCCGGAAGCGGTTTGCTTCCAGTGGGAAAGAAACAATCTGTCCCACAAACCACAAAGAGAAGCTAACATCTCCAATATGTATAAATTAAAGATGTGTGTGTGTGGGGGGGATCTAAAAGCTTTAAAATGCTCTCTCTGTGTCTATACAAATATAGGACATTGTAGTCCCTCCCTATCTGTCTTTTTTCATCCAATTCAAATTTCATAATTAATAAATCATTAACTGGAGTATACAAACTTAGAATAGGCCATTTGATGAAAGAACCACATACTCAGATCAGTAATTAAGCCTAAACTGTACCAAAATATATACATTTTTCATTTCCTATTAACAAATATTTTCCTGTAGATATGTTCTGTGTGTTTCTGGATGAAAAAGATTTACCTTTAAAAATCAGCAGAATGATTTTATTTTTTAATACTGATTTTCATAATAACGGAGGGAGTTATCAATATTAAAATAGTTGTTTTTTTGTGATTAAATGTTAAATCGGTTTGCCATACTCATCTGCTGCAATTGGCTGACCAGGCGGCTTTCAGAAAGCAGTGAATCCTTCTTGTAGTCCTATGTATGAAACATCTATTAAAGGCTATGATTGAAGCTTTTACTGTAAATCTATAATTTCTTTATTCCTCATATCAGCAGATGAAGCGGCCAGATTGTCAGCTGTGTCAAAATAAAGTTCAAAGCGAACATTACATAACACAGTCTGGCCGAACCATCCGTGGAAGATTTGGAACGGGGCCAGAGGACGGCATCGGTTCCTTTCAGAGCGCTCCAGGCCCCGCGCGGACATTAGGCCGCATTGTCGCTCTCGACAACGAATAATCAATGAGACGGCTAAGGATGAGCGTAGAGAGGAGGGGAGGGAATAATGGAAGAAAAGGGGCTCTGTGGTTGTGGGATGGGGGAACACAGTTTCTCTGTCTGTTGCATAACGTCGCTGCTCCATCACGACACAAGCAGCCAGGAAGTGGAGTGTGTAAATGGGGGGTTTTATGGACTCAACAGGAGCACATTGTCAGATTGTTATTGCAGTTTCAATCTGTCATAACCGCTTCACTCAATGAAATGTTATTTATCGCCCTCTGGTGGTGACAAAGGTCAGTGACAAATTTGTTTGGACTATTTGATGAAAGCAAAACTTTTATTTTACATTTTTTCAGCTTTTAATCTCAGTTTTTCTAATAAGACTTAATAATTGAAGTGAACTTTAATGTTTGTCTCCCAGATCTGAAGCGAGAGGCCAGCATCTGCCACATGCTCAAGCACCCCCACATCGTGGAGCTGCTGGAGACCTACAGCTCTGATGGCATGCTCTACATGGTCTTTGAATTGTAAGGGTTCGCTTTAACCAAAACGCCTACTCTGACAAGGCAGTGGACAGATTTTTCAACAACCCTAGTAGTAATAAGGCTTGCAGAAACCAGACTGTACCGTACATGTGAGTCATAAACATTCAGCTGAGAAATGCACCAATAAAAAGCCACCAACCATGTTAATTCTGCTAAATGAAGACAAATAGATGGTGTTTATCATTTCCGTCTACAAAAATAAGCTGTACATTGTGCCATTTATACAGTTGGTGGCAAGCTCAGCCAACCACAGGAACAACATATTCACCACACTTGCACAATTCAAGATTCAGATAAGAGGTTGTGTCACTGCATTAACTTGGTGTGAATTTGATTGAAGAGGTTTTATTACAGCAGAAAAGCTAACATTTGGGTTTTTTTATAGAGCATTTTTGACCAGTTGGCATAATATAGTAACCTGGACTGCATTGTAACTGGGATTGAATTTCAATCCGTCTATCAGGACAAATTGAATTTTTCTGTCTCTAAATTTGAGCTGCTGTCCAGTTTTTGGCAGTAATTTATTTTCGTATTTTTTTCTGTGAAATTAAGTGATATAAAAAATTATTACACATTTTAATATTCAGTAAACTTCTGAAAGGTCTCCAATTCCTGTATTCAGGCAATAAAATAAAAAATATTTGAAAGTTTTCCAACATTAAATAGGTTGTGGAAGTTGTTGGGTTTAAATTATGAGGCTTGCAGAAGCCTTGTACTAGAACGTTTATTTTTATCTTTCCATATCGCACTGATGACTGTTTCCTTTCTGTCCCAGCATGGATGGCGCCGACCTGTGTTTTGAAATTGTTAAACGGGCCGACGCCGGGTTTGTCTACAGTGAAGCTGTGGCCAGGTAGGACACAAGAAATGATTGCATTTAAAGTAAAGTGTGTGGGTTCCTTAAGTCCCGCCCTGCTTCTCTTTCTGCTTTTTTTTTTTCCTTCTATGCAGCCATTACATGAGGCAGATATTGGAGGCCCTGAGGTACTGCCATGACAACAATGTGATTCATCGAGATGTAAAGGTGAGATTTAGTCACCGTGTAACTCCAAATGAGAGGAATAAGGTACTGAAACTGCAAACAATCCTCTTGGGTAAAATTAAATGACTGCTGCCAACTTTGACCTAATGGCGGTTTACACATTCTTGGGTGAAATAACAGCTTTACTCCAGTGACTGATATCTGCTCGATAGGGTAGGTTGACATTGAGTTTTTTGGGGGGTTAAAGCGATTTTAAAGTTTGAAGTATTTGCATTATTAACCTTTTTTCAGTCCTCCTTCAATATGGGAATAAACACATCGTAAATCATTAATTTGATTGATTCATTGATTTTCTGTTTTGAAGATTTGAGCTTTGGAAAATTAACTAACGGTCTTCTTGGATGTCCATAGTTCAGAGTGATGTTAGTGATCTTTGTCTCACAATTCTCTTTGAATTCAATTAAATTTACAGGCTGAGATAAAAGCAAGTATTGAAAAAAATTTGTTAATTTATAATTGTTTTATGAAAAAAAGTGAGAATTGGAAATCAAATTTGGTATTAAAAAGATTTGACATTTATTTTTAAACCGTATCACTCAGCCCTACAAATGATACTGGAACATGTTGCTCTATATAAAAACTTGTGAATACTTTTTGATGCCGGTTGAAGTTTTATTTTAGTTAGAGAATTTATTTATTTTTTTATCATAGGCAGTCATATTTTTCCATTTTAAATAATGGGAGACAACTTATCTTAAAAAATGCAAAGAAACAACAAAAACACCACCTCAGACATTCTTGGGTAAAAACTTTCAACAAGACCAAGTGTAAATAATCTAACAGTAAAATATATATATTTATATATATTTTGTTAAACAAAAAACTGTTTTGTCTCAGCTTCAATGTGGTTGGCATTCTGCCTTCAGTGTTCTGACAATCTTGAGCAGCTTGCGATCACTGAAGACCAGCAGGAGGAACTGTAGTTGTTGCTTCTGTGCGACGGAGAGTGGAGTTAATGACACAGAAGCTGGTTCTAGGTGTGAGTGAAGGGTTGTTGAGGACTTGTCCGGGTACAGCCAGCGGTGCAGACCCTCGTCTGTAATCTATGGTAGAGCTGTTCAGCGTAACATCTTGAAGGTATTGACATCGGTTGCACAGCCGGTGTCCAAGAACCTGCAGAGCAGTTCTGCGCACCGAGCCAGACAACAGAAAGTACATGACTGGATCCAAGCAGCTGTTGAAGGTGGACAACAGGAGCATGATCTCGTTGATATTGTTCACCATCCCCAGGTAGGCACAGGATCTAGAGTCATTTACCTGAGACTGGATGTACACTGGACGGAAGATGTGGTAAGGCACAAAGCAGACGGTGAACAGAAAGAGGACAAAGAAGGACTTCTTGGCTGTTCTTTTGTACTTTGATGCATTGGGAAGCGCTGGCTGCTTCTGAGACAGCTGAAGCAACTTTGAGGCAATTTTGGCGTGGGAGATGACCATCATGATGAAGACAAGCCAGAACAGCACCACTAACATCGCATTGACATAAGCCTTCCAAGCGACACCGCGGCGCTGCCTGTACTCAAAGCATTGGGTGCTGGCATCTTTGTCCTCCTTTGTCACCACCATCAGCATCGTCCCCATCAGAAATATGCTCCATATGGTGCCACACACCACCCAGCTCCAGAGCTGCTTACGTCCACACATCCTTCTCCATAAGCTCCTTCCAGCTCTCCCTCGCAGTCTCATGTATCGATCCAGGCTGATTAGTCCCAGCAGCAAAATGCTTGCGTACATGTTCATGTAGAAACCGTTCCCCACCAGCCTGCAGGCCACCGTCCCCAGCACCCAGCGGTCTCCGTTGAGGTGATGGTACACTCTGAAAGGCAGGCACGCCAGGAGGACCAGGTCGGCCACAGCGCAGTTGATGAGGAACACCCGCACTGAGTTATGCTTGGAGTGGAGAAAGAGGAACACCCACAGAGCGAACAGGTTCCCCACAAGCCCCAGCACAAAGAACAGCGAGTAGAAAACTGCCAGAGACAAACTAAGTGAGGCGCTGTCCAATGTACAGTTTTGTTCAAGTGTGGCAACGGGAGAAGAATACGGAGTGATTCTTGACATGAAGGACGACGCTGATGGATATGCAGTAGAAAAGGAAGTGTTTGGAGGTACAGAACCTGCAGCGAACGGTGGCAAGGTCATGGTGAGTCAATTCTGATGAATTCAGTGATGTTCAGCAACACATTCTGCAAAGGAAAGGAAAGGAAAAGACAGCTACAGACTTATGACGCTATGAAACCAATGTGTAGACAGGTGAGTAATATGTCAGCTGGATTTCCAAAGTTCACTCTAATTCTTTCATGACAAGGTTAACCATTTCTGACATTAAAAAGGGACAGCACCTTGCAAATTTTGACCTCCAAGTGCACCGGTTTTCATAAAATCACTAAGTTTGAGTGAGTCTTAAAGCTGGAGTTTTATCTAAGACTCATTTGACTGTGCAAATGAGAAATGAATGTTAATTTGACACTAGAATCGAATAGAAGCCAAACACTCACCATTAATCCTCCTCTCAAGCAAAGCTTAGCTGAGCTGTGGTTTTCGGGTGCCACAGGACATATTTAGATGTGCAGCTGAAGAGGTCCGTCTGATATTTTTCTCCATCGGTTTCTTAAAAAAATGCAAAAAAAAAAAAAAAAATCCCTCCACCAGAACAGATGTAGCTCACAACCCGAATAGAAACTGCTGTTGAGTTCTCGCTGTCTTTACCTTTAGCTGCAGTCTTTAAATGAGTCACTGCAGCACCGCATTTGTTGCTTTCCCTTCACCCTATCACCGATCTGATTGTACATCTGTCAGTCCTCTTGGCGCTGCCTCTTTTTTCTCTTTTGCTCTTTCTGCTTTTCTTTATCTTGCAAAATCTGTGAACTTTGTCTACATGCCCCACTCCCCCTGTGCGAGCAAAAGGTACTATACGTACAGGAAGTAAAACCCACCACAACTGTGTCTCCGGGTGCTCAAATTTGTGATTCTTGTTCTATACATTTCATTTCAATACTATCAATTGTATGAACTGGGACTCTTTTATGTTATCTGGTTGCAACTGCAGGCAAAAAGTCAACAGTGCAGTTTTAAAAGAAGTTTTATAAAAAGAACATTTAAAATGTAGGGAAGTGAGTGAATTCACACTTTAAAGCATGTTTGAGACTCAAATATAACTCAGCTTCTTCCTTCCGATATTTTTTCTGCATTTCCCTTAGTGTGCTTGTTTCTACTGAGATTAAAACTATGCTTTCCACATGCCAGAGGTTAGAAGGGAATAATTCCAGACATATGATAATGTTACAACAAATATTTCAGCGTGTAAATACAAGTACTTGATTTCATTGTGAATTTATTGTGCATCCTAATCCACACAGGGTCAAAATTTGACATGCAAACCCCTACAAGTATTTCGCTAAATGATTTTTGTATAGTTTTGCTGGATATTTCACCACTTTGCATAGCAGAAATTGGTTGAGTAGATGTAATTGATGCAGCTTTTAACACATCATATGCATAAACAATAGAGGTAAGACTTGGAAGACCATTATAAAATCTTACTTTTGCCCATTTTTTCAACTATTCTAAAACTAGTTTTGATGTATTTTTGTGTTCATTAAATAAGTTTTTGAAAATCCATCGAGAATGAAGTTAACAGTAAACCGCTGAAATACCAAAGTCAGGGTTCTGATTAAAAGGAAACATTAAGTCCAAAATGTCGTCTAACATTTGCAGTTGCCCACGACTATGAGCCAAACACGAGCTGGAAAACAATTTTTATTTTGTCATGATGGTAAAAGCAGTGAGTCAAGATGAGGGTTTAATACATTGTAGTGTCTCACAGGAACAGTTGTACACAACACACACAACTCATTTTGTTAGGCTAAAACGGAGCATGTGAATTTCTGACGGAGCTCACTAAATACAGCATGCATGTTTCAAGCCTGCATGGGTGCTATGAGGATGTAGGGCAAGTGATAAATTAGGAATTAACACTGTCACACTTCAGGTGTTTTGTAACCCTTGAGTGCAGATGTAGCCATTTCTTAAAACTGAATTGTGATGGGAACTTCTGCTTCTACAAAGTCACTTTTTGTATCACCTGGGAAACTTGTAGCTCTAACCATTAAAGTCAATTTGACATATTGAAACAAACCTGCCTATGTTTGTTCTGTAAATTGTGACAAAATCTCACTGTTTAAATTGTAATAATCCCCTTGCAGTTCATAGAGTTTAAGTTAGACATGTGGGCTTAAATACGTCACAACCCGACATTATCAAAGATCCATTTGATCACATCTTAAAATTAACATGGTGCATCATCTGGTTTAAAAGGGTATCATGGTAGCATGATGTCTCAGCACAAGCCTCATTTTGTCATTGTGAAACTGAGGTTCAGAGCATTTGATCACGTCAGAAATGCACTTTTGCAGAGAACCAGAAATGCAATGCTCTGCAGGTTGCAATGAGCTTGTAAGGAAAATTTGGTTTGCTACTTTCAGTTTTTTTTTTTTTAAAGATTATTTTATTATTTATATGATTTAGTTATTTATTTTTTTAATCCATGGTCTTATTTAACCGTGCTGCATTTTGACTTGTCTTCATTTTCATTCTCTTTGATGTGTTTCTTTTCTTCCTCTGCAGCCTCATTGTGTGCTTTTGGCTTCAAAAGAAAACTCTGCTCCAGTGAAGCTGGGAGGATTTGGAGTGGCAATCCAGCTGGGAGAGTCTGGCTTAGTAGCTGGAGGTACAGATCATCACTCCTCAGCGTTGATGTCCACATGCTTAAAAAAAAAAATCACAAAAAATAACCAGTTCGAAGCTTATTTGAGATACACGTACACACAGTTAAAGTAGACATGTTGACCGTTTATAACTCCATTGACGAGCCTTTTTTTAGGAGTAAGCTGAAATCGAAACTTGACTATCACTAGTGCAAATTTAGCAATCGTGACTTATTTCCAGTTGTGGTCTAAATTTATGTGAAGACATGATAATGATCGATGCTGATATAACTTGTTTTTAATTGTTCTATTGAGGGTGGAATAATTAGACAACAGACAACTTGTGATTCTTTTTTTACTACATGGACAGAATTGTAGGTAAAGGCTCAAAAATGTACATACACCCTGATTAATATTTGATCGTCAGCTGTACACTTTTATAGCTTGTGATGCATTTCTAACTTCAGTACTGTTATAGCTCTTTTCAAGTGGCTCATTTCCTGGCACAGGAAATTTAAACAGAGATAAGGTTGGGTTTTCAGTTCAACTTTTAATCGTTTGACGCTAAATTGTCAATTGTTGGCTAAAATAAAATTGGTTTGAATGATCAGAAAAATCCTAGAAATCGCCAATTATCTCACTTCTGCTGTAACAACAATGTGTCAAACCCTAAACTTTTAATTTGGTAACAACTGCACAATGACTCAACACTGTCAAGCAATTTAGAAATGGGAAATCAATATGGCAAAATGAAAATATTGTGTCTGTGGCAAGAAGGCCTTCTTATCAAAATACCAAAAGGTTGTAAATAACTAATACTCTTGCTGCAACTTGCTTTCATTCTAAACAATAAGCATTTTAATTTCATTGTGATGGATCACATGTGGCTGATTTAAAAACTGCTGCAAATGTAAATTTTCTCTGCATCTCGATCTCCTTCCTTTTCATCTTTATGCGTGATTCAACTTTTCTGAAGTTAACCAGACAGGAAAACTGAAATTGCTCATTGTGTTATGCTTGTGCGGTTAACGTGGTCTTTAAAGCGATGCACCTCTCTGCAGAGAAACAATCATTGCATTTTCTATCTAAACACAGGCTAACTAAACCCAACCAGTCAATTTCCTGCAGCTGTTGCACTTTCACATCCTCTCTAGTTATCTCTTCACAACCTCTGCCTTTGATTTAATTTCCCCTCTCAATTCCTCGTGGCTGTGTTTCACTGCAGCGTGTCTTCCTCTCCCATCATCAGGTCGGGTCGGCACGCCTCACTTCATGGCCCCAGAGGTGGTGAAGAGGGAACCGTACGGTAAACCAGTGGATGTGTGGGGCTGTGGGGTCATCCTCTTCATCCTGCTCTCTGGCTGCCTGCCTTTTTATGGCACCAAGGAGCGCCTGTTTGAGGCCATCATTAAGGGCAAATACAAGGTAGTGCGTCAATGTTCAAAACTTTTGAAAATGTCAAACAGAGTCTCACTAGTAGATGTTAAAGTTGCACAAAGGTTCACTCATTGTCCTTTTGCTGTTAAAATGTTACTTGAGGAGGCCAAGGCATGATTTGGTTTTGTCATGTCTTTAAAAAAACACTTTAGAAGACGAATCAAAGCTGCAGTGTAAGTATTAGAATGATGACACCAGAGGAACTGTCTGTCTTCCTGGGCAAAATTGTTTGACTGAGCTGTAAAATAAAACCTGAACATTATGGTGTCCCTTTGCATTCAGTCTCCCATCACTCCCTTGTTCATTTCTAAAGATCTCAGAGTGGAAGGAGATCTTCTTTAAAACATCACTTTATTTTTTTAATCTATTGTATATTTTGGATCTTAACTAGGCCATTCATACACAGTTATATGATTAACCAAAACAGCTCTAGCTCTGTTTCCAGGGTTGCTATATTTGGACATAACACTAACCATGATTCAACCACCATCATATGGTGGTGATTATGGAGGGCAACTTGTTCTGTTTTTCACCATATGAGGCCAAAATTGTGATCATCTGTGCAGGCAACCTTCTTTTGCATGTTTGTGGTTTTCTAAATGTCTCTTGCAGCGAACAAGACTTCTTCTTATTGCTTTCTTCTGAGAGTCGCAAAAAATTTCGAAATTGACTTTTTTTTTGTTCTTGTCTTGGCGACGAGCTTCAGGTGATTCTGAACTTGTTTGTGCAGATGAACCCTCGCCAGTGGGCTCATATCTCTGAGAGCGCCAAGGACCTGGTGAGGCGCATGTTGATGCTGGACCCTGCAGAGAGAATCACAGTCTATGAGGCCCTGAACCACCCCTGGCTGAAGGTGAGCCACAAACACACACACAGCTCCTGGTGCAAATGTTAAAAATGAACTTGAATCAAATCAGCAACTCCAAAATAACAATAAGACAGAAGGAGGAAAGATTAGCTTTTCACAGTCACCTATCAGACATGGGTTCTTTTTGATGCTGACTCAAAAAAACATTTCCTCCCTCTCAAAACCACAGCGCTGTTTTCACATCCGTACGGCTGCAGCCTCATCTGCTTTTTCTCTCTGCGGGTTTCCAACTCTAGGAGAGGGACAGGTACGCCTACAAGATCCACCTGCCGGAGACTGTGGAGCAGCTGAGGAAGTTCAATGCCAGGAGGAAGCTGAAGGTCAGCAGACTGCTGATTTTGAAGCCCAGATTAGAAACTAGCAGGATCAGCATGATTGGTGATAAGAGGAAGTGTCACCTCCGCTGTTCTGTGCAGCTGCTTTCAATAACCCCATTTGATTATTGGCAAAAGCTTTCTCTGAAAGAGTAAAAAAAAAAAAAAAAAAAAGAAAAGTGCACCCTCTTGAGGTTTTATACACCACACAGACGAGGGTCTGCACAGGTTTCTTGTAATACCCGTTTTATCTGCCGTCTATTTCCCAGGGTGCAGTGCTGGCTGCTGTTTCCAGCCACAAATTTAACTCCTACTATGGGGATCCCCCAGAGGAGCTCCATGACTTCTCAGATGACCCCACCTCCTCAGGTAAACCACACATAGCAGATGTCCCCACCTCATCTCTGAATGTTCTCCCCATCATGTAAACACCAATGTGTGCAGCAACTAAAAGCAAGACATCAATTTCACCATTTCTGGTTTCTTCCCCAGTGTGACAGTCATCTGTAGCAGCAGAACTTCCCAGTTTTAATGGAAACATATATTACCCAACAGCATCACTTCTCTGTCTCTGCCTCTGACTTTCACTTCCTGCAATAAGAAGACTCTGTATCGTCTAGATTGTCTTTTGTGTGTGTTCACATCCTGCAAGAAAGAGCAGACGTGTTTTAGTGTCGCCCAATGAATGGCTCAGCCAGACAAACTAAAAGCATCAAGCGTGTCCGTCCTGCTGAAGTTGGCACTCTGTTGCAACCACATTTCCTTGAGGTTTATTTTAGTGCCTGCAGAGCTTTAGACAGGTTGACCCTCTCTAGATCCCTCTGTTTTCCCTCAAACTCTTAAGTCCACATTTTGCAGCAAACCTCCTCTAATTTTAGCCTCTTTCTGTGATGTTCTGTTTTTTTCTGCTCTGCTGTCTGTAGGACTGCTAGCTGCTGAAAGTACGTATCCCCCTCCTACCCATCCTTAGTGTTCTCATCGCACCACTTTGCATTATAGATGCATTTTCCTTCATGTTGGTGTTGAATGATGCAAACACTAACTCCATCCTCCTGTGTCTTCCTCAGCGTTTATTTTTCTGTCTCCCTTTTGAGAAATCTGATGTAACCTTTTTTTCTTTGATTCCCAATGCTTTCCCTCTGAACCATAAAGATGATTTGTTGTTTACATGCATCTTTAGAAAAA